TCTGGGTGGGAGTAGACGTGGGCTTCGAAAGTACCCGTGCTCCCCACCGCCGTCGCCAGTGCCTGAGGTCCGAGAGTGAGGTGCCGCGTTGCCCGCCCCGTCGTTTCATCATGGGTCTCTGCCGGGGCTCGGGACTGCGCGCACCCCAGGACCTCTGCAATGCTGTGTGCTGTGCCCTACACACGCGCGCGCGCGCGCACACACACACACACACACACACACACACACACACACACTTGCGCACACACGGCTCAGGGGCCTCGCCGCTGCCTACGGAGACTACGTCTAACCTGGAGGTTACCTCTAACCTGGAACAGCCTGACAGTTCTCAGGTCCGCCCTGGTCCCTCCGGCACCTTCTCGGCCAGCAGCCTCCTCCATTGTTCTATGGAGGGCGGGGAGGCTTCTGTCGCCCCACGGGCGATCCCTTCAACTTCGGCTGAAGGAAGTCTTTGAATCTGATCATGTCACTCCTCTAATTTGTGATTTTAAAACTGAGCTCTAGTCAATTCCCTGAGTTAAAATTATTCACTGTCATTTTGTATGTATTTAGGCAGATGGGAGGGGCAGATATAAGATTTACTGATAATTTATTGGTTTATTGGGGGAGCATAGTGGAAGGAGGGCAAGGCCCGCCACTTTTCCAGGGGACCGGGATTCGGGATGTATTTCATCCCCTTGCCGTCAGGGATGAACGTCTGCCTTGAACTTGGTGCAGCCCCTCCTCTTGGAGATGTGGATCTTCTGGCAGCCAGGGAACTTCAGTTTGGGCCTATGTAGGGCCTCTATCACATGTTCCTTGTTCTGCAGCTTAGCGTGGTTGCCCATGATGACCTGTCCAGTGTAAACGTCACCACTATGCCCTGGGGCTTCTCAAAGGCACCTCGAATGCATGTCTGGAGCCTGTCAGCCCTAGGACAGGACATTTTGTTAATGAAGATGATGTGGAAATCGGTATCCAAAGTCCTGCTTCTGCCCAGGTAACCCTGATTCCAAAATCAGCATCTCTGACCTGGGGCAGAAGACAAAAGTGGAGAGTTCCCACTCTGTTGTTATAGGGGGCTGAGTTAGATAGAAATATAGGCAGTCAGACAGGGTCAAGCCCTCAAAGGAGCCAACGTGAAGGACAAGCTACCTTGTGAATGGAGACAAATTTGCTGTGGGCCAGACCTCAAGACAAAAGACTAAACAAATGCACCCACATACCTCCCTAAGGTGCGAATATCTGGGATTGATATTCTAAATAGGTAACAATCTCCCTAAAAAAGCCAGGAAGAGTCACTAGCCCAACCCCCTACAGGAAAAGCCCCGGTTCTGTGTTCTTGCCTGCTGGCTACCTGACTCGCTTCCCCGTTTGATCCCAATTTAATCAATTTCACCTGAACAGTTATACTTGTAATCTTATTGGCTGACCATAGTTTTGTCCCACCTCATGCCCACCTTGTAATTTCCCATTTTCCCCCTATCCTGGACCTGCCTCACCTTGTGGTTTTGCTTTAAAAGTCCCTGGGAAGGGCAAGGTCCTTGGCAACACACTCGGGTCCCCTTCTGTCCTGCTCTTGAACAGAGGCTTTCTTTCCCTCAATAAATATATTCTGCTCTTAACGTCCGTTGTTCCTAACATTCATTCTTTGATTTTAGAGATCACGAGCTCGTCCCAGATATCCTTCAGGTTGGGAGTTTCCGTTTTCCTGTATCACTGTGACCACAAGGTGTCCGAACAAGATGAGCAGCTCTGTTGTGAAGCTCTGGAGGCCTCAAGGATTTGTGCCAACAAGTTCATGGTAAAAAGCTGCGGGA